AAGTGGGATTCATGCCAGGTATTCAGGGTTGGTTCAACATTAGAAAATCAATCAATGTAATCCATCACATAAATAGAACAAAAGACAAGAACCACATGATCTTGTCAAATGACGCAGAAAAGGCATTTGACAAAGTTCAACACCCATTCATGATAAAAACTCAGCAAAATCGGAGTAGAAGGGACATTCCTCAACATAATAAAGAGCATTTATACAAAGCCAACAGTCAACATCATTCTAAATGAAGAGAGACTGAAAGCATTTCCTTTGAGAATGGGAACCATACAATGATGCCCTTTATCACCACTGCTGTTCAACATTGTACTGGAGGTCCTAGCCAGAGCAATAAGGCAAAAAAAAGGAATAAAGGGCATCCAGATTGATAAGGAAGAAGTAAAAGTATCAGGATACAAGATAAACATACAAAAATCAGTTAGATTCCTCTACACCAGCAAAGAGAACTTCAAAAAGGAAATCACCAAATCAATACATTTTACAATAGCCCCCAAGAAGATGAAGTATTTAGGAATAAATCTAACCAGAGATGTAAAAGACCTATACAAAGAAAACTACAAGTCACTATTGCAAGAAACCAAAAGAGACCTAAGTAAGTGGAAAAACATACCATTTTCGTGGATAGGAAGACTCAACATTGTGAAAATTCAATTCTACCCAAAGCGATCTATAGGTACAATGCAATCCTGATCCAGATTTCAATGACATTTTTTAATGAGGTGGAGAAACAAATCACCAACTTCGTATGGAAAGAAAAGAGGCCCTGGATAAGTAAAGCATTACTGAAGAAGAAGAACAAAGTGGGAGGCCTCACACTACCTGATTTTAGAACCTATTATACTGCCACAGTAGTCAAAACAGCCTGGTACTGCTACAACAACAGATACATAGACCAGTGGATCAGAATTTAGAACCCAGACATAAATCCATCCACCTATGAGCAGCTGATATTTGACAAAATCCGTTAATTGGGGAAAAGATAGACTCTTTAACAAATGGTGCTGGCATAACTGGATATCCATCTGCAAAAAACTGAAACAAGGCCCGTACCTCACACAACACAGAAAAACTAACTCAAAAATGGACCAAAGACCTAAATATAAAATCTAAAATGATAAAGATCATGGAAGAAAAACATCGAGACAACACCAGAATTCCTAATACATGGCATAAATAGAGTACAAACCATAACTAACAATGCACAAACACCAGAACGGAAAATAGATAACTGGGAGCTGCCAAAAATCAAACACTTATGCCTATCGAAAGACTTCACCAGAAGAGTTAAAAGACAGCCTACAGTCTGGGAAAAAAATTTGGCTACGACATACCCGATAGGGGTCCAGTCCCTAAAATCTACAAGACACTGCAACATCTCAACAACAAAAAGACAAGTAATCCAATTAAAAAATGGGCAAAGAATATGAACAGACACTTCACCAAAGAAGACATTCAGGCAGCTAACAGACATGTGAGAAAATGTTCATGATCATTAGCCATTAGAGAAATGCAAATCAAAACTACAATGAGATACCATCTCACCCCAAGAAGGCTGGCACTAATCCAAAAAACACAAAATAGCAAATATTGGAGAGGTTGTGGGGATTTTGGAACACTTATGCACTGCTAGTGGCAATGTAAAATGGTACAACCACTTTGGAAAATGATTTGGCGCTTCCTTAAAAAGTTAGAAGTACCATAGGATCCAGCAATCCCACTCCTAGGAATATATCCTAGAGAAATAAGAGCCATCACACGAACAGACATATGCACACCCATGTTCATTGCAGCATTGTTCACAATAGCAAAAAGATGGAAACAACCTAAATGCCCATCAACAGACGAATGAATAAACAAATATGTCTATTCTGACTCATAGCGACCCTATAGGACAGAGTAGAACTGCCCCATAGAGTTTGCAAGGGGCACCTGGTGGATTCGAACTGCCGACCTTTTGGTTAGCAGCCATAGCTCTTAACCACTATGCCACCAGGGTTTCCATGGTACATACACACAATGGAATATTATGCAACAGTAAAGAACAATGACTAATCCGTCACACATCTCACAGCATGGATGAGTCTGGAAAGCACTAAGCTAAGTAAAAGTAGTAACAAAAGGACAAATATTGTATAAGATCATTATTATAAGAACTCAAGAAAAGGTTTAAATGCAGAAAAAAGCATTCTTTGATGGTCACAAGGGTGGGGAGGGAGGGAGAGGGGTATTCACTAACTAGATAGTGAAGGGAAGGACAACACACAATACAGGGGAAGTCAGCACAACTGGGCCAAAGCAAAAGCTAAGAAGTTTCCTGGACACATCCAAACACTGATGGACAGAGTAGCTGGGGCTGGGGCCTGGGGACCATAGTTTCAGGGGACATCTAGGTTAACTGGCATAACAAAGTTTATTAAGAAAATGTTCTGATCCCACTTTGGTGAGTGGCGTCTGGGGTCTTGAAAGCTTGTGAGCAGCCCCCTAAGATGCATCAATTTGTCCCATCCCACTTGAAGCAAAGATACAAGGAAAATATTAGCCTAAGAGACTAAAGGCCCATATAAACCAGAGACTCCATCAGCTTGAAATCAGAAGAACTAGATGGTACCCGGCTATGACCGCCCTGACAGGGAACACAACAGAGAGTCCCAGATGGAGTGGGAGAAAAGTGTGGAGCAGAACTCAAATTCATGTAAAAAGAGCAGATTTAATGGTCTGATTGAGACTGAAGGAACACTGAATCCATGGCCCCCAGACGCTCTGTTAACCCAGGACTAAAACCATTCCCGAAGCCCACTCTTCAGACAAAGATTAGACTGGACTATGAAACATAAAATAATACTCGTGAGGAGTGTGTTTCTTAGTTCAGTCAGATACACATGACCAAGTGGGCGGCTCCTGTCTGGAGGCAGGATGAGAAGGCAGGAAGGGACAGGAACTGGTTGAATGGACACAGGGAACCAGGGGTAGAAAGGCAGAGTGTGCTGTCACATTGTAGGGATTGCAAGTAATGTCACAAAACAATAAGCTGTAAACTTTCACTAAAAGCACAATAAAGAAAATCCTTGATAACAATGGTTTAAATAGTCAATTATAGTCTACATAGAGAAAAAATATATAAAAATAAATGAGAGATTTGTGTTAGACTAGAAATTGATGTGAAGATTTATAGTGAATTTTTCTTTATAAATCTCCTTCCCCACCTTCCTCTGAATCTGCTTTTGATGTTACCTAGTTACACTGCCTGTTAAAATGCATTGCAGGCAGAAAAAGCTGATGCAGTCCACTGAGAGTGCATCGTGTTCTTCCATAGAATGAAATTATTCCTTCAATAAAATTTTTGTTTTAATATAAAAAAAAGAAGAAGAAGATGGACAGAATACACAGAGTCACTGTACCAAAAAGAATTGGTCAACATTCAGTCATTTCAGGGGGTAGCATATGATCAAGAATCGATTGTATTGAAGGAAGATGTCCAAGCTGCACTGAAGGCATTGGCCAAAAACAAGCCTCCAGGAATTGACGGAATACCAATCGAGATGTTTCAACAAAGGGATGCAGTGCTGGAGGCGCTCACTCGTCTATGCCAAGAAATTTGGAGGACAGCTGGCCGACCAACTGGAAGAGATCCATATTTGTGCCCATTCCAAAGAAAGGTGATCAATTAGAATGTGGAAATTATTGAACAATATCATTAATATCACACACAAGTAAAATATTGCTGAAGATAATTCAAAAGTGGTTGCAGCAGTAAGTACATTGATGGGGGAACGGCCAGAAATTCAAGCTGGATTCAGAAGAGGATGTGGAACAAGGGACATCATTGCTGATGTTAGATGGATCCTGGCTGAAAGCAGAGAATACCAGAAAGATGTTTACCTGTGTTTTACTGACTATGCAAAGGCATTCGACTGTGTGGACCATAACAAATTACGGGTAACGTTGCGAAGAATGGGAATTCCATAACACTTAATTGTACTCATGAATAACCTGTACATAGACCAAGAGGTAATCATTCAAACAGAACAAGGGGATACTGCATGGTTTAAAATCAGGACAGATGTGTATCAGGGTTATATCCTTTCACCACATTTATTCAACCTGTATGCTGAGCAAATAATCTGAGAAACTGGACTACATGAAAAAAACAGGGCATCAGGATTGGAGGAAGACTCATTAACAATCTGCGATATGCATATGACACAACCCTGCTTGCTGAAAGTGAAGAAGACTTGAAGCACTGATGAAGATCAAGGACTACAGTCTTCTGTATGGATTGCACAACATAAAGAAAACAAAGATCCTCACAACTGGGCTAGTAAGTAACATCATGATAAACGGAGAAAATCCTTGAAGCTGTCAAAGATTTCATTTTACTTGGATTCACTATCAATGCCCACGGAAGCAGCAGTCAAGAAACCAAACAACACATTGCTTTGGGCAAATCTGCTGCAAAAGACCTGTTTAAAGTGTTAAAAAGCAAAGATGTAACTTTGAGGACTAAAGTGCCTCTTACCCAAGTCATGGTGTTTTCAAATGTCTCCTATGCGTATGAAAGCTGGACAATGAATAAGGAAAATGGAAGAATTGATGCCTTTGAATTATGGTGTTGGCAAAGAATATTAAATATGTCCTGGATTGCCTGAAGAAGGAACAAATCTGTCTTGGAAGAAGTACAGCCAGAATGCTCCTTAGATACGAGGATGGCAAGGCTTCATCTCATGTAATTTGGACAAGTCATCAGGAGGAACCAGTCCCTGGAAAAGGACATCATGTTTGGTAAAGTAGAAGGTCTGTGAAAGAGAGGAGGACCCTCAATGAGATAGGTTGACATAGTGGCTGCAACGATGGGCTCAAGGATAGCAAAGATTGTGAGGATGGAGCAGGACCAGGCAGTGTTTCGTTCTGTTGTACATAGGGTTGCTATGACTCAGAACCGACTTGATGGCATCTAACAAAATCGACATTCATCTTTTCTACTTTACCTGTGGGTTGGCCTCTTTTTTGTTTCTGAGTTAAATGGATCCTAGGTCTGCCTCTCTTTCTCCCTGAGAAAATAGAAAAATGTCATCAAGGTGACAGATAAGGAGTTATATTGCATATAATATTTCTTTTCAAAAATTCTACTTGAATGTAACTTTCCAAGAACCTGTCTAGTAAAGAAAAATACATAACTCCTACTCTTTAAGCTACCAAGATTTTGATGGTTAACCTTAGATTCATCCTATATTTCCATTTTTAGATCCCCACATCAGTCCAAAAGAAAAATATAAACAATTGATATCAGTCTTTCACTTATATCCTGAACAGTAGTGTGTTAGGTGTTTAATATATGCCAAACACTTGTAAACCTACTAATTTAATTAATCTTTGCAGCAAACATGTGAGATAGGGATAATGATCACCCTCATTCCAGAAACTCAAGCATTTAGAGAAAATTCAGACAAAAACTACAAAATTAAGTGAAGACCTCACAGGTTTCCTTTAGTAGATAAAGAAAAATAAATGGAAGTTCTGTATGCCACTCACATCACCTGAAATGAAGATATTTTGTATATTTGTGCTGAAAGTGATAGTAAATGTAACCAAGAGCTTGTTCACCTAAGTTTGGACAAGGAAATTAGGAACTAAGAAGCTATCCAGGAGAAGGCTAACCAAGAGGAATGGGTAGGAATTTGGTCTTCCAAAACCCTAGTTCAAATAGTAATGAAAAAAATGACTTGGTAGATGTTGTAGCAGAGAATGTTCTTCCATTTGCAACTTAATTGGCTGCGTGTTTGCATCTCAGTGTTCACTGTCATTTAAATGTGTTTGATTTTCTGAAGTAAGAGGTCAAAATTAATTGTTCTTCTTTCTGGTGTTCAGTGTCCACCATTTCAATGACTACCATCTGGTGGTGCTGGCTGGGGTAGTGTAGGCCCCACAAAGAAATATTTTCCACACTGTTCAATCCTAAGTGCTGTAGGATCTGAGTCAATTATGACCATATTAGGCCAGCAAAGTAAAAAGCATTTTTCCTTCAATCAAATTATGGTAACATAATTCCACTTTCTGGGCTTTAGGCTAAACAGTTACTGCAAGGGTTTTTACCTCTCCAAGACCAAAATGGTCTCATAGGACAAATATTGATAATTAGAGCAAACTTATTAAAGAACAAGATTAAATAAGTTCCAGACTTTCAAGATGATACTCCATTAATATTTAAGCAAAATAATAGGAGCTCAGACAACAGGTCTAGGGAAGATCGATAAACTAATATAAGAAAGTAGGACACCTGGATATGAATAGTCAAGGGCTAAGAATAACAGCTAAAACTGTGCAAATGTGGTCCTCAGCAAGAAAGATTAATCTTTTTGCTCCCTCTCACTTCCTCCCTCTGGAAAGTGGAGCCAGTGGGCAATAGAAGGTCATCCATCCAGGTGTGGCTCTCTGAGGGGCTCTCCTTACCTACCTTCTCACCCAGGATGCCAAAGTCATGAGTGACCCTGGAAGGTCAGGCCATTTCCAGCTTGCCCTCTCTCTCTTATTCTTCCCTCCTTTCCTGAAGGTTCCATGTTCATAGTCCAATGAGAAGACATCTAAACAGCTTATTCTTGCTGCTTTTTTCCCTCCTACACTCTAGCCAGGCTTAGGACTAGAAGCCTGGCCACAACCTGACAGTTAGCACATACAGCGCTTCCTCTTGCTCTCTGTCGATGTCTGGTTACACCTTTCTTGGGACTAGGGGCTATGCTGGATTTACCGTTCATCAAACCTGTTTAGGCCTAATATATTTAGGGAGAAATGGGAAACACATTGAAGTTCAGACTAGTCTACAGAATTCTCAATATGGGGATATATGAAGCTTAAAACCAGCTAATTCATAATACAGCACTACTGTGTTTTACTCTCAACATAGAGTAAATGTAGTGGCTTTTGTGTCCTCAGGCCAAAATATCCATTTAATAACATTAGAATCCCATCGTAAACCTTAATAAATACTACACAAACCAAAAACCAAAGCCATTGCCGTTGAGTTGATTCCGACTCATAGCGACCCTGTAGGACAAAGTAGAACTGCCCTATAGGGTTTCCAAGGAGCTGCTGGTGGATTTGAACCGCCGACATTTTGGTTAGCAGCCGTAGCTTGCTATAGCTGTTAATCACTGCACCACCAGGGCTCCAATAAATACTATAGTGGTCAAAATATAATTAAAAGTTATTTAGAAACAATTTGTTGATGAGGAGTTTATTTTTCCTTGTGGCAGAGTAATGCGTGGAGTTTTGATATGGGTTACAACCTGGTTGAATCTTACTAAGCCCAGCCATTTTAATAAACCAATTATATAAGCTAAAGGAATTTCCATGAGCAGTAGATAAAACTCAGAGGAAAAATTAGATCATGGGCAAATAAGAACTATGATATAAATGCAAACAGTTTACAACCCTGTACCAAACAGGTTTGCTTTCTAGATTTCACTGCTCTCACATGTACTAGTAAGCTTGACTGGTAAAAACATTAAGGAGGATCAATGTCCCTCAAAACTTTAGCAAAAACTGGATTGACCTGCAGAGCAAAATCAAAGTGGCACAAACTTTATCTTACCCCAAATCTTAGCAGAACGTTGAAGATTCACCTTCACCTTTGTTTCTCTCGAGACCAAGTGGCCATCCACTTCGCGGTTATCTAGGGAAAGGAAGAGGAAATGTAGAGTTGACAAAACAGCAGTTCACATGTCAGATGCACAGCAGGACAGGAAACACTGGGTTCATTTCCAGACCCTCACTTCATCATACATTCAAACAGGAAAGAAAGTTAATGGTAGGGGTCTCAAGCAGACATCCAGAACATTTTGCTACTTTTAAGAGGATTGACTTCTAAATTACGCACAGGACTTAATTGTACTATGGAAAGAAGTCTCTTAGGATTTGTCTATGTACACGTAGACTTAAGTGAAAATGTTATAATGACACAAATCAGTAGTTATTTTGAAAATAGTCATTCTTAAAATGGATTCAACCACTTGTTTTTATTTTCCAAACAAACATGTTCACTTCCACCAACAGGCAGCCATGTAAACTGGAGGGAACATAAGATTGGTGAAAATTAACAAACTTCATTGGACTCTAAAATCTCATTACATATCTCTGTTAATTTAAAATTGGCAATACTTTGGAAAATGAGGGTTAGCTTTCATTGTCCAGGAGAGAGAAGTTACTCAGACCATTAATAACATAAACAAGATTTCAGGGTTCTGATTATAAATAATTCATACACATTACAGGAAATTTAGAAAATAAAAATGGTATGAAATATTACCACCTGGAGATAATCACAACTGTTAAAAAACATTCTCTTAGTCTTTTCTCTTTGCATATGTTATTCTTTAAACACCCTTGTATTACAAAAGTTGAACATATTTAATATTTTATATGTATACACATATATTAAAAAAACACAAATAAAGATATGAAATCACCTATATTCCAATGACCAAGTGTAACTCCTGAATATATTTTTATGCATGAGCTTCTAGTGATTTTTCTATCTATACCTATGTCTCTATATAGGTCCCTGAATGGCACAAACAGTTTATACTAGACTACTAACAGAAAGGTTGGCAGTTCGAACCCACCCAGCAGTGCCACAGAAGAAAGTTCTGACGATCTGCTTCCTTAATGATTGTTGTTGTTAGGTGCCATCCAGACAGTTCCAACTCATGGTGACCCTAAATATACGACAGAATGAAACACTGCCCTGCCCTGCAGCATCCTCACAATCGTTATGCTTGAGCCCATTGTTGCAGTCACTGTGTCAATCCATCTCATTGAGAGTCTTCCTCTTTTTCGCTGACCCTCTACTCTACCAAGCATGATATCCTTCTCCAGGGACTGGTCCCTCCTTATATAACATGTCCAAAGTATGTGAGACAAAGTCTCTCCATCCTTGCTTCTAATGGTCATTCTGGCTGTACTTCTTCCGAGACAGATTTGTTCGTCTTTCTGGCAGTCCATGGTATACTCAATATTCTTACCAACACCATAATTCAAAGGCATCAATTCTTCTTCAGTCTTCCTTATTCACTGTCCAGCTTTCACATGCATATGAGGCATTTGAAAACACCATGACTTGAGTCAGGCACACCTTAGCCTTAAAGCGACATCTTTGCTTTTTAACACTTTAAAGAGGTCTTTTGCGGCAGATTTGCCCAATGCAATGTGTCTTTTGATTTCTTGACTGCTGTTTCATGGGTGTTGATTGTGGATCCAAGTAAAATTAAATCCTTGACAACTTCAATCTTTTCTCCATTTATCATGATGTTGCTTATTGGTCCAGCTGTGAGGATTTTTGTTTTCTTTATGTAGAGGTGTAATCCATACTGAAGGCTGTAGCCTTTGGTCTTCATCAGTAAGTGCTTCAAGTCCTCTTCACTTTTAGTAAGCAAGGTTGTTTCATCTGCATATAGAGACTGTTAGTGAGTCTTCCTCCAATCCTGATGCTGCATTCTTCTTCATATAGTCCAATTTCTTGGATTATTTGCTCAGCATACAGACTGAACAAGTATGGTGAAAGGATACAACTATATCAGGTTGTATATCAGCCAAGAAAACCTTAGAGGGGAGGCAGGGCCAAGATGGTGGTGTAGTCAGATGCTTCCTGTGGTCCCTCTTACAACAAAGACCAAAAAAAAAAAACAAGTGAATCGATTATATATGAGAATCTAGGGGCCCTGAACATCAAAGACAAAGTTGAGGAATCGGACTGAGTAGCAGGGGGAGAGAGAGACAGTTCAGAAGCAGCGAAGAGTTGCCAGACCTGATCTGGCCGGCACTGGCACCCGGCAGGCTGGATCAGCTAGTGTGCAAGGGGTGAGGCAAGCAGTGGCACTTGGGATGCGTTTTCCACATTGAGAGAGACTGAGTGGTGGAAGGTCTGCTCAAGCCTCCAGAACGAGCGAGAAACGGAGCTCAGTCTGCGAAAGATAAGTACAAGTGTCTAACCTACTGCGTGGATTAAAAAAAAAAAAAAAAAACCTTTTTGGAAGTACCTCTCTCCCATTTACCTGACCCCTCCCTGCTCTGCTCCAGGTCCCAGTCCAGCTTCAGTGATTGCTGTGCCCCCTGGGCTGGAAGTAGGACCCATCAAGCACCCTGAGCCATTCTCCCGGCTTTGGAGAGGGAACAAATTAACAAACAGGAAAAAATAATCTGACAGCTCCCCTAAGCCAGGAACTCAGGGCAGGCACAGCCCCTTTTCCTATGCACAGGCATAAGGGGTACCTGGACTTTGAATGCCTTTCACCACTGCGTAGACCTGTGTAGGCCCATTTCAACAGCATGAGCCCTCATTAGCACAGTACAACAGGTTATATACCTGAAGTCTATTTTCAACTGTATTAAGCTATAAGGGGGAGTGGCAGATTCATGACATTTGACACCACCCTGCCCATTAAGCAAGGTCCTCACCTACCCACATCAGGGGCCTGAGGACTGGTGGGTCCACGCAGGCCACTGAGCCACCCATGACAGGGGTCCAAGAATAAGGGGTGACTCCCAGTACTTACAGCCAACAGCACTGGGTGCCCATAGTCCAGCTGCAAAACCCACCTACCTATGTGCTCTAAGGAACAGGGACACACCTTCTACCCAGACACTCAGGGGCAGCAGTCAGCCAGCCCCCTGCCATGATCAATGCATGACCCCCTACCGCAGCCAGATACCTGTGCCTACTCCAATCACTCCTGCCTGTCTAGGACTGTAGGTGAGAGCCTGCACCACACACTCAGTGACCAACGACCTGGACACGAGCTGAATCCACACAAGAAAGGTAAATGAACTCCTGAGTTCACATACCTAGTAACAGCTCTAGCCACCTGAAGGCAGGACAGGAGAGCTTCAAAGATGCCAATAATCAAACTAGCTCACATGACCAGCCTATTTTGGCATATCAAAACAAAACAAGAAGCTAGGACACAGTAAGCAAACATAAAATAAATAAATATAATAACTTATTGATGGCTTGGAGACAACAGTCAATATCAAATCACATAAAGAGGCAGACCATGATGGCTTCAGCAAGTCGCCAAAACAAAGAATCAAGAAACCTTCCAGAGGAAGAGAACTTCTTGGAATTACCGGAGGTAGAATTCAAAGATTAATATATAGAACTCTTCAAGAGATTAGGAAGGAAATTAGTCAAGAAAACCCTTTGGAGCTCAGTTCTACTCTGTAGCACAAGCGTTTGATAGGATTTGGAATCAACAGGACAATTTTTTAAATGTCTTTTAAAAAAAGACATTTTTTGAACATTTCTATATGAAGAGATCTATATGTATAGCGAATGATTTATGGATATATAAAAACATATTTTTTTACAAATGCACACATATATATACATATATGTTTTAAATACACACACATATTTATAAATATGGCCCTAATCTACACATCTTACAGTCTGCTTTCTTCATTTGGCCTTTTTTGGTACATCTTTTCAAATTAATAAAGTCTCTTGGACCTAGCAAAGAAAGCCACATATGGAGAATAGCGCCTCCCTGTTAACCCTGGATCATTTACCCCTGGAAAATTAGAGGTAAGATAAATTAAGCCACTGTACAGGTAGTCTCAGACTTAAAACATATTTGAGTTATGACGAACTGTACTTAAGACCATCTTTTTTTTTTGTCCATCTTCTCGTTAGTAATATGTACTACATACAATGTTGCAGCATGTAATTTGCTGACTTTATCATTCTCAGATGTTTACTTAAAGATGTTCAGTGTTATAATTACTGTTCAAAACACTGCCATATAGCAGGCTGTGGCAATAATAATGAAAACTAAAAAAAAAAAATGAGATAGTCAGCTTATGACAGAACTGATTTATGACAGAGTTGTCACAATGGAAACTTGTCATAAATCGGGGACTACGTATATTTCAGGCCACTTTGTTACAGCATGTTAGCCTATATTCTAACTGATACAGTAGCTGCGAGGCTTTCACACCCCTCAGGAGATGGTCGGCCTCCAAGAATGCAATAGGCAGTGCCTTAATAAACTCAAAAGATACGACTACTTCACTTTTCCTACTTACCTCTTTGACATATGTTTTTCAGAACTTTCCTTTTTATTTTTGTCCAAGAGTGCCCTTTCTTTTTTCCTTCAAACAAAAAAGAAGAAAGTTAATCATTCAGAGCTATAAATACAGTTCTAAAAGTCTTATATGTGGTAGTTTTCAAGTATTTTTTTTCAGACTTTGGCAAAGTTTGGAACAGATGCTTCACCAAGGAAGATATACGAATGGCCAACAAGCACTTGAAAAAGTGTTCATTATCATTAACCAAAAGGGACATATAAATTAAAACCAGCAGTGGTTAAGCTTTCAGCTGCTAAATGAAAGGTCGGTGGTGCGAACCCATCAGCGCCTCTGAAGGCAAAAGATGTGGCGATCTGCTCCCATAAAGATTACAGCCTTGGAAACTCTACTGGGCAGTTCTATTCTGTCCTATAGAGTTGCTATGAGTCGGAATCAACTCGACAGCATACAACAACAACAACAATGCAACCACTGGAAGGGTTAAAAATAATTAAAACAAAATCAACAAACAGCTTGACACCACCAAATTTTGGCAAATATATGGAGCAACCAGAATTCTACATTTTTGATGGGAGTGTAAAATGGCCCAATCCCTTTGAGAAAAGGTCTGTAAATTCCTTATAAAACTAAACATACATATATCCTGTATTCTAGCAATTTCATTCCGAGGTATTTATACCTAGATATGAAAGCATAGGTCCACAAAAAGACTCATACAAGAATGTTCATAGCTTCTTTTTCATAATAGTTCAAAACTGGAAACAATTGAGGTGTCTATCAGGAGAATGAATAGATACAATTTGGTATCAGTCTATTTACAATGATTTAGGTATTCTCTTAAGACAATATATATTTTCTCAACCATTCTTACATCCTTCTGATTCCTCACTAGCAGTGTCTGTAGCTTACATATTTCTACTAACAGTCTGTTCAAGAAAACCTAGGCTTTTTCTATTATTCTCCTTGAAATTCTTCCAGCCTCTGCTCAATTCCAAAGCCACATACACATTTTTAGGTATTATTACAGCAGCACCCCATTTCCAAGTACCAAAGTCTGTATTCGTTTTCTAGTGCTGCCATGACAAATTATCACAAACTTGGTGGCTTAAAACAACACAATATATTATCTTACAGCTTTATGAATTAGAAGTCTAACACAGGTCTCACTTGGCTAAAACTAAGGGGTCAGCAGGTTTTCATTTCTTCCTTGACACTCTGGGGGAGAATCTGTTTTCTACTGTTGTCGGGTGCCACTGAGTCCATTCCAATTCATGGTGACCCCATGTGACAGAGTAGAGCTGGCACAAGGGTTTTCTAGATTGTAATCTTTATAGAAGCAGATCATCATTTCCAGCTTCTAGAAGCCACCCAAATTCCCTGGATCATGGCGCCCTTCCTTTGTCTTCAAAGCCTGAACATTGTATCTCTCTGGCCATCCTTCCATAGTCACATCTCCCTCTCTTCACAATTGGGAAAGGTTTTCAGTTTTTGTCTTTAAATTTTATTGTGCTTTATGTGAAAGTTTACAGCGCAAATTAGTTTCTCATTTAAAAATTTATATACAAATTGTTTTGTGATGTTGGTTGCAATCCCTGCAATGTGTTAGTGCTCTCCCCCTTTTCACCCAGGTTCCCCATGTCCATTTATCCAGTCTTCCTGTCCCTTTCTGCCTTTTTGTCTTTGCTTTTGGGTAGGTGTTGCCTTTTTGGTCTTGTATACTTGACTGAACTAAGATGCACGTTCCTCATGTATTACTGTTTGTTTTATAGACCTGTCTAATCTTTGGCTGAAAGGTGGACTTGAAGAGTGGCTTCAGTTCTGAGTTATCAGGGTGTCTGGAGACGGTAGTCTCGGGGATTCCTCTAGTCTCTGTCAGGCCAGTATGTCTGGTCTTTTTCTGTGAATATGAATTTTGTTCTACATTTTTCTCCTGCTCTGTAAGAGACCTAGGTTTTCCATTTTTAAGGCCCATGTGCTTAGATTGGGCCCACCCAGATATTCCAGGATAATTTCCCCATCTCAAGGTCCTTACCTTAATCACACCTGCAAAGTCCATTTTGTCATGTAAGGTAACAGATTATAGGTTTCAGGGATTAGGATTTGGTCATTTTTAGGGGGATGTAGTAGGTTAATAAAAACTAAAACCAAACCTGTTGCCATCGAGTCGATTCCGACTCATAGTGACCCTATAGGATAGAGTAGAACTGCTTCATAGGGTTTCCAAGGAGTGGCTGGTGGATTCAAACTGCTGACCTTTAGGTTAGCAGCCAAGCTCTTAACCAGTGCACCACCAGGGCCCCAGTGGGTTAATAGTGTTCTTTAAAAATTCATGTCCATCCAGAACCTCAGAATGTAACCTTCTTTGGAAATAAGATCTATGCAAATGTAATTAATTAAGGATCTCAAGATGAAATTATTCCGCATTTAGGATGGGCTGTAAATCCAATGACTGGTGTCTTTATAAGAGAAAGGGATTTGAACAGAGACACACACACAGGAGAATGCCACATGAAAACAAGGACAAAGATTGGAGTGATGTGTCTATAAGCCAAGTAATGCCAAGGGTGAAGGGAGAGGCATGGAACAGATTCTCCCTCAGAGCTTCCAGAAGAACCATCCCTGCCAACGCCTTGATTTTGGACTTCTGGTCTCTATAACCATGAGGCCATAAATTTCTGTTGTTTTAATCTACTCAGTTTGTAGTGATTTATTATGGCAGTCCTAGAAAATTAATAGATGGCCACTATTCTCTTACCACAGTATAGTAAATAATAATAATGAAACTTTGACATTAAAAAACCCATTTGTGCCAACTGATTTTCAATAAGCATGTCAAGTCCATCTAGTGGGGAAAGAATAGTCTCTTTAACAAGTGTTGCTAGAACAACTGGATCTCCATGTTCAAGAGAAGGAAGTTGAACCTATACCTCACACCACATACAAAAATTCACTCCAGATGGATCCGTGACCTAAATATAATATCTAGAACCATAAAATTCTTAGAAGAAAAGATAGACATAAAGCTTCAAGACCTTGTTTTTGGCAATGGATTCTCAGATAAGACACCAAAGCATGGGCAACAAAAGAAAGATAGTTAAATTGGACTTCATCAAAAATAAAAACTTTTGTACACCAAAGGTTTTTATCAAGAAAGTGAAGATACAATGCACAGAAAGGGAGAACATATTTGGGAGCCATATATCTGATAAGGGATTAATATCCAGAGTATATAAAGAACTCCTACAGTTCAACAACAAAAATACAAACAAACCAATTAAAAAATGGGAAAAAGACTTGAAAGAAGCACCTGAAAAGATGATCAATGTCATTAACCATTAAGGAAATACAAATCAAAAACCCATAATGAGATATCACTCACTTCCACTAGGATGTCTATTGTCAGAAAACAACAAAATAGCAAGTGTTGGCATGGATGTGGAGAAATCGGACCCCCGTGCATTGCTTGTGGGAAATATAAAATGGTGCAGGCTGTGGAAAATAGTTTGGCAGTTCCTCAAAAAGTTAAACACAGAATTACCATATGACCCAGCAATTCCACTCCTAGGTATATACCCAAAAAACTTGAAAACAAAGACTCAAGCAGGTACACCAATGTTCACTGCAGCATTATTCACAAGAGCTAAAAGGTGGAAACAACCCAAGTGAACATCAATAGATGAACTGATAAACAAAATATGGTCCCTACATACAATGAAATATTATTTAACCATAAAGAGAAATGAATTTCTAATCATGCTATGACATGGATGAATCTTGAAAACATTATACTGAGTGAAATTAGTCATTCTCGACAGGACAAATAATGTATGATGCTATTGTCCTAGTTTCTTAGTGCTACTATAACAAATACCACATGTGGGTGGTTTTAATGAACAGAAATTTATTTTCTCACAGTTTAGGAGGCTAGAAGTCTGGATCCAGGGCACTGGCTATAGAGGAAGGCTGTCTCTCTGTCAGCTCTTGGGGAGGGTCCTTGTCTCTTTTCAGCTTCTGTTCCTCCATTCCTTGGCGATCTTTCATGTGGTGTATAACTTTCCCTCTGTCTATGCTACCCTCTCTGTGCCTAATCTGCTCTTTTTATACATCAAAGTTTGGTTTAAGACAGGCCCTACACTGATATAATACTCATTAACATAACAAAGAAAACCCTATTCCCCAAAGGGATAATATCCACAGGTGTAGGGGTTAGGATTTACAACACATACTTTTGGAAGACATAATTCAATCCATAACATCTACTTATAAAATTATCCAGAAGAGGCAAATGCATGGAGACAAAAGTTTATTGTTGGTTAGAAGGGGTTGGTAGGAAGGGGAAATGGGGAGTTATTTCTTAAGGGGCATTGAATGCCTGTTTAGGGGGATAAATAACATTTGGAAATGGATAGTGGTGATGGTTGATCAACACTGGGAATATAATTAGCGTCACAGAATTGTGCACTTAAAAATGGTTAAAATGGCAACTTTTTGTTATATATATTTTACCACAACAAATTTTTTTAAATATTTTTTAAAAAGTTATTTGTAACATCAAGATCAAGTAAATTTTTATTCATACTTACTTCTTTTTCTCTTCTGTTTTCTCAAAGTAGAATTGTTTCCAGTATCTACAGTATCTAGAAAATAACAGGTGATGGTGAAGGAATTGTAATTTATAAACGCTACAAATCTTAAGACAATTCATATTGCAGAAGGCTTGAGTTTATAAAGATGTTTGGATTATCATTTCTCTCTTCATTCTAAAGGAACCAAAAACCTACTGAATTAAGATCTAAGAGTCTTAGGATAGACTCTGGGTCTACCTTTATTTCCCAATGGAACTTTGAAAAAAGACTCTTAAATACTTATGCACTGCATTTTCCTCAGGGAGAAGAACAGTTATCTTGTCTAGATCTTAAGATTTTTTTAATATTAAGTAAGATAAACAAATGACATACTGGAGGACATCCATCAAAAATATGCATTAGATTAAGAATAGTTGATCTAAAGTCTTTCATCCTGACAATTAAGTAGCAGGAGCTGTTGTTATTTGAGGCATTTCTCCAGTTGTGACAAAGTAACACTGTTACCTACCGGTAGAAGTACACTTGGCTTTCTTAGGTTCATGGATTTTTGTGTGACAGGGGTAGAAATCACCGTATAAATCCAAGGTTTTATTATTATTATTGTGCTAATGCAGTAAACAAGATACTGCCATTTTTAGGAGTGTGTTTCTACTACATCATCACAGGGCCCATTCTGTTAAACTCGACTTTATAATAATCACTTGCATCCCTGCAGTTCCCAAAAGGGTTAGATCAAGCAAATGCAGAGAACAGGATTCTAGGATGGACTGCACCACCTTCCACAGCCCTACCCTGGGTCTATGGAACCCACTGAGCCATCCCCACCCCAAGACCCTTGAGCATCCTTTACCCATCATATCAGATGCTTGACTACTTTCAGTCCTTGCGTCCTGGGGACCTGGAACCCTTCCTGAGAAACACATGACATAGGAATACTTTCAACTCCAGGTGCCAGGAGCTCTGCTCCCAGGCCAACATAGCAATCTATGAAAACTTCTCATTTGTCCCACCAGTGATCCTCTTTTCTGTACCCTTATTAGTCCCCTTTTTCTTGCAACATCCTCTGAAATCTTTCATTGCTCCTCCCTATATCCAACTCTTTCTTTAAGTCTCTCTGCCTTTTTTTCCCCCCTCTTCTCTTTTTCTCTTTATCAAAGGCCTGTTTCTTTCTGTTTTTATTATTTTTGAAGTTATCATTACCTTGTCCATCATGGGGTAGTAGGGTAGGAGTAAGCTCTTGTGAGTCTCCTTCTTTATTCATTTAGTTCATAGGATACAGTAGAGAAACAAGAAAATGACTGTCCATGGACCCCAGGACAGTGACCAGGGAAGAGTCCTCAGGGCTCTCATGCGGAGCTAAAGTGAACTGCTCTCTGGAAAAAGTAGACCTGCTCCAATAACCACATCTGAAATCCAACAGAGCCAGGCTTTTCCATCTTTTTCAACTCCTTTTCTTTTTCTCTACTTTTCATTTTCCTGTTTGTAGCCCTGAGAATAAATAAGTTTTTGTCCATTTATGAAAAAACTAATTGTTCTCTGAAAATAGTAAAAAGTAACTACCAGAACCTGTTGTACACTCATCCCAGTTGATCAATGATTACTTACACCATTATTTAAGGGCTTGGAATTATAAACAGTCTATATACACAATGGAATATTCTTCAGCCATAAAGAGAGATGAAGTTCTGATACATGCTAGAACCTGCATAAACCTTGAAAACATAATGCTGAGTGAAATAAGCCAGACATGGGAGGACAAATGATGGATAGTACTGATCAGAATTCATTAAAATTTTAATTGATCCTAAGTCTGTCAATTAGATGGTAAGATTCTGTTTCTTTGGGAGGCTTTGTCAATTCTATGACAAAATGATAAAATTATGAACCAACGGAGGTATGCTAAGCTTTTTGATTTCCATAGAAGATAAAAAGATAGAAATCATTATTTAAATTCAAGGAATAGTATCAAGAGGCGTGAAAAAAAATGCAGGAAGAAGAACCCTTTCTCACACTAGTATATTTCTACTACCTAAATCTACCACGTGTCTGTCAGTTTGTCATACTGTGGTAGCTTGCTTGTTGCTGTGATACTGAAAGCTTTGCCACCAGTATTTCAAATATTGGCAGGGTCACCTTTGGTGGGCAGGTTTCAGTGGAGCTTCCAGACTAAGACAGACTAGGAAGAAGGACCTGGCAGTCTACTTCTAAAAAACTTGGCCACTGAAAACCTTATGAATAGCAGCAGAACATTGTCTGATATAGTGCCAGAAGATGAGCCCCTCAGGTTGGAAGGCACTCAAAAGACAACAGGGGAAGAGTTGCCTCCTCAAAGAAGAGTTGACCTTAATAACGTAGGTACAGTCAAGCTTTTGGGACCTTCATTTGCTGATGTGGCAACACTCAAAATGAAAAGAAACAGCTGCAAATATCCATTAATAATCAGAACACGAAAAGTAGGAAGTATGAATGTAGGAAAATTGGAAGTCGTCAAAAATGAAATGGAACAAATAAACCTCAATATTCTAGGCATTAGTGAGCTGAAATGGACTGGTATTGGCCATTTTGAATCAGACAGTCATATGGTCTGCTATGCCAGGAATGACAAATTGAAGAGGAATAGCATTGCATTCATTGTCAAAAAGAACATTTCAAGCTCTATCCTGAAGTACAAAGCTATCAGTGATAGGATAATGTCCACACGCCTACAAGGAAGACCAGTTAATACGACTATTATTCAAATTTATGATCCAACCATTAAGGCCAAAGATGAAGAAATTGAAGGTTTATACCACCTTCTGCAGTCTGAAATTGATCAAACTTGCAATCACGATGCATCGATAATTACTGGCGATTGGAATGCGAAAGTCAGAAATAAAGTAGGATTGGTAGTTGGAAAATATGGCCTTGGTGATAGAAATGATGCCGGAGATCACATGATAGAATTTTGCAAGATCAGCGCCTCTTCATTGCAAATACCTTTTTTCAACAACATAAACAGCAACTACACATGTGGACCTTGCTAGATGGAATACACAGGAATCAAATCAACTACATCCATGGAAAGAGATGATGGAAAAGCTCAATATCATCTGACAGAACAAGGCCAGGAGCCAACTGTGGAACAGGCCATCAATTGCTCATGTGCAAGTTCAAGACGAAGTTGAAGAAAATTAGAACAAGTTCACGAGAGCCAAAGTATGACCTTGAGTATATCCCACCTGAATTTAGAGACAATCTCGAGAATAGATTTGATGTATTGAACACTAGTGATTGAAGACCAGACGAGTTGTTGAATGACATCAAGAACATCATACCTGAAGAAAGTAAGAAGTTATTAAAGAGACAGGAAAGAAAGAAAAGATCAAAATGGATGTCAGAAAAGGCTCTGAAACTTGCTCTTGAACATAGAGTAGCTAAAGCAAAAGGAAGAAATGATGAAGTAAAAGAGCCAAACAGAAGATTTCAAAAGGCGGCTTGAGAAGACAAAGGAAAGTATTATAACGAAATGTGCAAAGACCTGGAGATAGAAAACCAAGAGGGAAGAACACGCTTAGCATTTTCAAGCTGAAAGAACTAAAGAAAAAATTCAAGTCTCAAGTGGTAATATTGAAGAATTCTATGGGGAAAATATTAAACAATGCAGAAAGCATCAAAAGCAGATGGAAGGAGTACACAGAGTCACTGTACCAAAAAGAATTGGGCAATGTTCAACTATTTCAGGAGATAGCATATGATCAAGAACTGACAGTAGTGAAGGAAGATATCCAAGCTGCACTGAAGATACTGGTGAAAAACAAGGCTCCAGGAATTGACAGAATACCAACTGAGATGTTTCAACAAACAGAGGCAACAATGGAAGCGCTCACTTGTCTATGCCAAGAAATTTGGAAGACAGCTACCTGGCTAACCGACTGGAAGAGAGCCACATCTGTGCCCAATGCAAAAAAAAGGTGATCCAGCGGAATGCAGAAATTATCAAACAATATAATTAATATCACATGCAAGTAAAATATTGCTGAAGATCATTCAAAAACAGTTACAGCAGGTCATCAACAGGTAACTGCCAGAAATTCAAGGCAGATTCAGAAGAGAACTTGGAACCAGGGGTATCATTGCTGATGTCAGAGGGATCTTGGCTGAAAGCACAGAATACCAGAAAGATATTTACCTGTGTTTTACTGACTATGCAAGGGCATTTGACTGTGTGAATCATAACAAATTATGGATAATATTGCAAAGAATGGGAATTCCAGCACTTACTTGTGCTCATGAGGAACCTATGCATTGATCAAGAGGCAGTCATTTGAACACAACAAGGGGATACTGCATGGTTTAAAATTAAGAAAGGTGTGTGTTAGGGTTGAATCCTTTCACCATACTTATTCAATCCATATGCTGAGCAAATAATCCGAGAAGCTGGACTATATGAAGAGGAACTCTGCATCAGGATTGGAGGAAGACTCATTAACAACCTGCGATATGCACGTGACACAACCTTGCTTGTTTAAAGTGAAGAGGACTTGAAGCATATACTGATGAAGATCAAAGACCACAGCCTTCAGTATGGATTACACCTCTATATAAAGAAAACAAAAATCCTCACAACTGGACTAATAAGCAACATCATGATAAATGGAGAAACGATTGAAGTTGTCAAGGATTTCATTTTACTTGGATCCACAATCAACACCCGTGGAAGCAGCAGTCAAGAAATCAAAGGATGCATTACACTGGGCAAATCTGCTGCAAAAGAGCTCTTAAAAGTGTTAAAATGCAAATATGTCACTTTAAGGATAAGGTACGCCTGATCCAATCCATGGTGTTTTCAATCGCCTCATATGCATGCGAAAGCTGGACAATGAATGAATAAGGAAGACTGAAGAAGAATCGATACCTTTGAAATTATGATGTTGGCAAAGAATATCGAATATACCATGGACTGCCAGAAGAACGAACAAATCTGTCTTGAAAGAAGTACAGCCAGAATGCTTCTTAGAAGTGAGGATGGGGAGACTTTGTCTCACGTACTTTGGACATATTATCAGGAGGAACCAGTCCCTGGAGAAGGACATCGTGCTTGGTAAAGTAAAGGGTTAGCGAAAAAGAGGAAGACCCTCAGGAGATGGATTGACACAGTGGCTGCCACAATGAGCTCAAGCATAACAACGATTGTGAGGATGGCGCAGGACCGGGCAGTGTTTCATTCTGTTGTACACAGGGACACAGGGTGACTATGAGTCAGAACCGACTGGACAGCACCTAACAACAACGTCCCCTCAGGGTGACATTCTTTTCATTTTTACTAATAACTAGTACTAATCCTTGCATTCATCCCATTCTATTCCCACTGCCCTTAGTAGTAGATGGATCTCTAAATACCTTTTCTACATACTTTATACCTTTCTTTTTTTGGCCCAGAGTGCTTTATTTTTTATAAGTTGATGTAAAAACTCATATTCCACATAAAATGCAGATTTCTGCCTCTCCCTCCCTGCCTCCCCCAAATCCAAAGATCTGGCCACTGTAGACCTAGCTTAGCACATGGGACTAACGGCTGGAGCAGCTTATTCCCACAGCACCTCACCTGATGGCACCTCTCACCGTTCTCAGCATGTATGCACATGCGCTCACGTTGCCAAGTTTACTCATCTCTCCTACCATATCTTAGTCAGTGACCCTTGCAAAAGTAGTATGTCAATATTAGTTGTTATACTCGTTTAAAAGTCAGGGACAGGGCTTCCTAGTGTTAAGAGTTGCTGAGCTCTGAAACAGGTGATTGAGGGAGGTTGTAGAAATGCCTTCCCTGGAGATCTAAAACTAAAACTGATTTGTCCACAGCCTCTCCAGGATGCAGGGGAAGCATGAGCAAAATGACTGCACCAGGTCCCTTCCAGAGTTTGAACTGGACTGTGAGCGAGGAGGAGAGATTTTAGAGTCTGTATGTTGGAGGGAGAAAGGGTGGAGATTTTTCATAGACAGATTGTAGATTGTAATATCATTCTATATTTTGAAAACAAACAATTTCAAACTATAGATAACAAAAAGGGCATGAAGTTTTTGTTCATCAAAAAGTGGCATGGATGTGTCAAAACTTATTGAACTGTCTGCTTAAAATCTGTGAATTTCACTATCTGTGAATTACATCTTGATAAAAAATAACACACAGTAAAAACAAAATTTAAAAAGTTAATGGTTAAATAGTAATTCTAACCTTTGTCAGACACTTACTATGTGCCAAGTACTGTAGTAAGTCTCTTACATGGATTAATTTGATTATTTTATCCTCACAATACTTTATAAGGTGGATACTATTATTTCCCCCATTTTACTAGGCACAGAAGCTATAGTTCAGGGTGACGAAATAATATACCACGTTCTCCAACTGATGACTGGAGGAGCCAAGTCTTGAACTCCAGATTGAATGACTCCAGTGTCCAGGTTGTCACTTTGTCTTCAAATCATTTAGGTGATTGTAAAGAAGGAGAAAATTAGTATAAGCTTGAGTTATTAAAATAGATCCAAATTTTATTTAAAGGCATAATAAATGTTTTAAATATATAATATGTTAGCTATAAATCCCATTCAAGGATATATATTCATGACATTCCACAAGGCTGGTTGTATTAGTGTGGTTTTTCTTACATTGGTCATTTCTAAAGAAAAATCAACACCAGATCGTTTAACAAATAAATGAAATGGGTTGTAGTTTAGAGATGGAGACTCTTCTTCTTTGGGCTTAAACGTTGTTTCTGCCACTGCTACTTTAGTGTTGAAAACGATTTTCTTTACAGTGTGTATCTGAGGAGAAAAGTCTCAAAATTTGAAGCAGTGATTAAATACTGCTAGTCTAGTCTTTGGAGTCAGACACACATTATAACAATAATAGTAAAGAATTACATAGCAATTACTTTGTGCCAAGATTTATTCTAAGCGAGCGGTAGAGCCAGTCTTTGAACCCAGGCAGGGATGCTTTGGAATCCCTGCTGTTAACTGGTGTGGATGAGAGGGCTTGAGTCCTAGCTTGGCCAATTCCTGGTCTTGTGATCTTGCACAAACCACTAACTATCCCCATACCTCAGTGTTCTCTCCTGAAGAAAAGGGGATAACAAAACTCTTATCACAGGGTTGTTACGAGGCTTAAGTGAGATGCTGAATGTAAAGGGAGATCTGAGTTATAGTAACACAGCAAAAAACCATAATTGTTATTGTTGTCAGGTGCCTTTGAGTCAGTGCTGACTCATAGCAACACTATGTACAACAGAACGAAACACTGCCTGGTCCAGCACCATCCTCACAATCGTTGCTATGTTTGAGGCTATTGTTGTAGCCACTGTGTCAATTCATCTCCTTCAGGGTCTTCTTTTTCCATGACCCTCTACTTGGCCAAGCATGATGTCCTTCTCCAGGGACTGGTCCCTCCTGATAACATGTCCATAGTATGTGAGACAAAGTCACTTGTAAGGGGCATTCTGACTGTATTTTTCCAAGACAGATTTGTTTGTTCTTCTGGCAGGCCGTGGTATATTCAATATTCTTCGCCAACACTATAATTCAAGTACACCAATTCTTCTTTGATCTTCTGTATTCATTGTCCAACTTTCCCATGCATATAAGGCAACTGAAGAGACCATGGCTTGCTCAGGCACACCTTAGTTCTCAAAGTGAAATCTTTGCTTTTTAATATTTTAAACAGGTCTTTTGCAGATTTTTCCAATGCAGTACGTCGTTTGATTTCTTGACTGCTGCTTCCGTGGGATCCAAGTAAATGCGGATCCAAGTGAATGTGGATCCAAGTAAAATGAAATCCCTTACAAATTTGAATATTTGCTCCATTTATCATGATGTGGCTTTTTGGTCCAGTTGTGAAAATCTTTGTTTTCTTTATGTTGAGGTGTAATCCATACTGAAGGTTGTGGTCTTTGATCTTCATCAGTAAGTGCTTCAAGTCCTCTTCACTTTCAGCAAGCAACAATCTGCATATGGCAGGTTGTTAATGAGTTTTCCTTCAATCCTGTTGCCCCGTTCTTCATATAGTCCAGCTAATTGGATTATTTGCTCAGCCTACAAACTGAATAAGTATGGTGAAAGGATATAACCCTGACCCACACCTTTCCTGATTTTAAACCACGCGGTATCTCCTTGTTCTGTTCGAACAGCTGCCTCTTGATCCATGTACAGGTTCCTCATGAACACAATTAAGTATTCTGGAATTCCCATTCTTTGAAATGTTATCCATAATTTGTTATGATCCACACAGTCGAAAGCCTTTGTATAATCAATAAAACACAGATAAAAACCTTTCTGGTATTCTCTGCTTTCAGCCAAGAGCCATCTGACATCAGCAATGATATCTCTTTTTCCAAGTTCTCTTCTGAATCCTGCTTGAATTTCTGGCAGTTTCCTGTCGATGAACTGCTGCAACCATTTTTGAATAATCTTCAGCAATATTTTACTTGCATGTGATATTAATGATATTGTTCAATAATTTTTGCATTAGGCTATATCATCTTTCTTTGGAATAGGCATAAATATGGATCACTTCCAGTCGGTTGGCCAGGTAGCTGTCTTCCAAATTTCTTGGCATAGACGAGCGAGCACTTCCAGTACTGCATCCATTTGTTGAAAAATCTCAATTGGTATTCTATCAATTCCTGGAGCTTTGTTTTTCGCCAGTGCCTTCAGTGCAACTTGGAACTCTTCTTTCAGTACCATCAGTTCCTGATCATATGCTACCTCCGGAAACGGTTGAACATTGACCCATTGTTTTTGATACAGTAATTCTGTGTATTCCTTCCATCTGCTTTTGATGCTTTCTGCATCATTTAATATTTTCCCTGTAGAATCCTTCAATATTGCAACTTGAGGCTTGAATTTTTTCTTCAGTTCTTTCACCTTGAGAAATGCCGAGCATATTCTTCCCTTTTGGTTTTCTAACTCCAGGTCTTTACACATTTCATTATAATACTTTACTTTGTCTTCTTGAGCTGCCCTTTGAAATCTTGTATTCAGGTCTTTTACTTCATGAATTCTTCCTTTCGCTTTAGCTACTCTATGTTCAAGAGCAAGTTTCAGAGTCTCTTCTGACATCCACTTTGATATTTTCTTTCTTTCCTGTCATTTTAATGACCTCTTGCTTTCTTCATGTATGATGTCCCTGATGTCATTCCACAACTTGTCCGGTCTTTGGTCATTAGTGTTCAACACATCAAGTCTATTCTTGAGATGGTGTCTAAATTCTGGTGTGATACACTCAAGGTCGTACTTTGGCTCTCGTGCATTCTTTCTAATTTTCTTCATCTTCAGCCTGAACTTGCATATGAGCAATTGATGGCGGTCCTGCAGTCGGCCCCTGGCCTTGTTCTGACAGATGATATAGAGCTTTTCCATCATCTCTTTCCACAGATGTAGTCGACTTGATTTCAGCGTATTCCATCTGGCAAGGTCCACATGTGTAGTCACCGTTTATGTTGTTCAAAAGAGGTATTTGCAATGAAGAAGTCATTGGTCTTGCAAAATTCTATCATGTGATCTCCAGAGTTGTTTGCATCACCAAGGTCGTATTTTCCAACTACAGATCCTTCTTCTTTGTTTTCAACTTTCCCATTCCAATCACCAGTAATTATCAATGCATCCTGATTGCAGGTTTGATCAATTTCAGACTGCAGAAGGTGGTAAAAATCTTCAATTCCTTCATCTTTGGCCTTAGTGGTTGGTGCATAAATGTGAATAATAGTTGTATTAACTCGTCTTCCTTGTAGGTGTATGGATATTATCCTATCACTGACAGCCTTGTACTTCAGGATAGGTCTTGAAATGTTCTTTTTGACATGAATGCAATGTCATTCCTCTTCAAGTTGCCATTCTCGGCATAGTAGACCACATGATTATCTGATTCAAATTGGCCAATACCAGTCCATTCAGCTCACTAATGCCTAGGATATCGATGTTCACGCATTCTCTTTCATTTTTGATGATTTCCAATTTTCCTAGATTCATACTTCATACATTACACTTTCGAATTATTAATGGACGTTTGCAGCTGTTTCTTCTCATTTTGAGTCATGCCACATCGGCAAATGAAGGTCCCGAAAGCTTGACTCCATCCAAGTCATTAAGGTTGACTCTACTTTGAGGAAGCAGCTCTTCCCCAGTTGTCTTTTGAGTGCCTTCCAACCTGAGGGGCTCATCTTCTGGCACTATATCAGACAATGTTCCACTGTTGTTAGTAAGGTTTTCACTGGCTAATTCTTTTCAGAAGTAGACTGCCAGGTCCTTCTTCCTAGTCTCTCCTAGTCTGGAAGCTAGCTGAAACCTGTCCACCATGGGTGACCCTGCTGGTATTCGAAATACCAGTGGCATAGCTTCCAGCATCGCAGCAACACACAAGCTACCACAGGACAAAAAACTGGCAGACATGTGGGAATTTTGCCCATAGACTCCTTCAGTTTTGCAACTCAAGGCTTGAATTTTTTCTTCAGTCCTTTCAGCTTGAAAAATGCCGAGCGTGTTCTTCCCTTTTGGTTTTCTAACTCCAGGTCTTTGCACATGACATTATAATACTTTACTTTGTCTTCTTGAGCTGTACTTTGAAATCTTCAATTCTTTTATGTGATCATTTCTTCTAATTGCCTTAGCTACTGTATATTCAAGAGCAAGTTTCAGAGTCTCTTCTGACATCCATTTTGGTCTTTTCTTTTTTGTTGGTCTTTTCTTTGTTGTCTTAAGTGTTATAATTTAATAATTAATTGTTAGTAATAACATTAATAAGAGATGGTTGAAAAGCTAATGGTTACAAAGTTACAAAACTTTGTAGTGTTTGTTGGTTACAAAAGTACATAGTTATTACTATCCTATATTAATTCCTCCTGTTTCTTACTTCCTTTCTTTTCTTTTCTACACTGCACTATTCCTACCTCATCATCCTCTACACATAATTACTACTCACTCTCTTTCTTTTCTCTCATTATAAGTAACGTTTATAATAGTTCCTTCTTCTGACACCTCAAAGGTCTCCTCTTTTCACATAACCCTTACCCCTTCCCAGATCCACTGAATTCCTAATTCACAATTACTTCAATCAATTCATCCCCTTAATTCTGGCTCATGGTCACACTGAAGTTTTCTTCCTTGTATTCATGTTCCATCTTCTTGGTTGTCATATCTGCCTGGTACTCTTGGATTCCAAGTCTAGTTAGCTAATTGGGACCCATACAAAACACCAATGTTCTGCCTTCCGTGTCTCCTTCTGCATCCCTTCCCCGCCGTCACAATCTCCACTCAGGAGTTCAGTTCCCTGAATTATGATCTCCTTTCCTTTTAGTAGATGAGAAAACAAGTTTTTGATGAAGTCATAATTACCTTGTTCATGGATGGATTGGGTGCTGGCCATCTCCTGGGTCTCTTCTCCATCATCTATTTGAATATCATGACTCATTGTAAAGAGGAAGGAAAGAGAGATCTCAGGCAGTGCAGGGACCGCATCTCATAATTAAGCATTCAGGTGCATCCTTGATTTCCTGTGCTTCAGTAGGGACCTTCCAGCCCTCAAGGCACCCCGGGGTTCAGTGGGTCTCACATGGCCCGTGAATCCTATAGCTATTCCACATAGAGATGAACTTCTCAAGATTTTAAAAAAGGATTGATAGTTGAAAGTTGTAAATAGTGGCTAGTTCTCCTTCAAAATGTTCAGAGAACAGTGAAAGCCAATTTCAAAATAAATAATATACGTGGAATGTGTTTTGTAAAGTTCACACACAACTGGGAATAGGGAAGAAACAGAAGTATTTCCTCAGGAGAAAGGTTACATTATGGAGAAATTAACCTACATAAAAAGGAAAGCCCTCAACAGTTTTTAAGGGTGAAGATTAAGAACAAATTCAACGACCAAAAAAAAAAAAAAAAAGGGAAAAAGAGAATTTTTAGTTTAATTGAGTCAGGGAAAATGATCAGATCACCAACAGATTAAGAGTGGAGAGGAACTAGGACTTTCCTGGAGGGGGATGTAGGAGGAGGGGTCTAAAAAACAAGTGAAGATGCTTCCTGAAAGGCATAAAGAGGAAGTGAATACTGCACAGTGCTACTAGTGACTCTGGGAGGTGGTAACAAGTGAAGTGCAGGAGACCAGCCCCAGCCCCACAGGTTTCAGAAATAAAAGTCACCCTGTATCAGTCTCTGGTCTTTTCCCCCCAGAAGTCTGTGGCCCTTCCAGGAGTGGTCACAATATCTAATTAAACAAATATTTAATTATATAATAATAATAATAAAAACTATAGTTGTCATCCAGTTGATTCCAACTCATGGTGACTCCAAGTACGTCAAAGTAGAATTGTGCTCCATAGGGTTTTCAATGGCTGATTTTTCAGAAGTAGATCGCCAGGCCTTTCCTCTAAGGAACCTCTGGGTGCATCCAAACGACCAACCATTTGGTTAGTAGCTCAACCATTTACATCACCCAGGGACTCCAATTAGATAAAAGGTAATTTAAATCCTAATTACCTTCTCCATCATAAGGTAGTAGCCTGGGCATTTCTTCTGATTCTCTTACTTCATCTTCTTGTAGAACTACAAGTCCACAGGACACTAAAAAGAGAACCAGGGACATGACTGATCATCAGCAGTGACCTGGACACCCACCTAGAGGTGGTTATGCTGAGCTCTGCTGTTCAGAGTTCAGGAGAACTGCTCCCTGGGAGAAAGAATGTTTGCACCAACCATGTAAGTACATTGTCAGACTACATTCTCCTCTCTCTACTTCTCCTTTTTCTTCCTCCAGCCCCACCTCCACTCATTGCTGCATCTGCACCACGAGGCTATTTGTGGTTGTCTTTGACTATGAGTCCTTCTCCCCATGACTTCCCCCATCTCTTTGCATTTATTTTTCTTCCTCTGTGATGTTCTTTACCTCTTTGCCCCTTTATCTCCTTATTTATTCTTTAACTCACTTCTTGTTTTCTTTCCTACACACAGTACTTCATTATTCCTGTACCATCCCTGAGAATGACAGTTGAAACGATCTCTCTCCCCAGACCCTAACCTTGTGGTATCTAGATTCCATATTCATTGAGATAAAGTTGGGCCCACTTGGAGAACATCATGGTGCTCCCAATCTCTAGCTTTTCCCTTCCGGCTCTTTTCCTCCATGCCTATTGGATCCCGTTGTTGTTTGTCGTGGAGTAGATGGCAATCATGGAGACCCCACGTGTGTCAGCGGAGAACTGCAATCCCTATGGGTGGGCCTTTCTCCTCGGGTACCTGTGGGTGGGCTCAAACCACCAACCTTTCGGTTTTACACAGTGGAGTTAACCAGGAAACCCCCTAAGTGCCTTCAAAAACTCCGTACTTGTTCAGGTTTGAGCTTGCACTCCCTGTTTCTGAACAGCTTCTCCCTCAAGTCTGGCGGGTTCCAACCGTCAAGCTTTTGATTCGCAGCCCTGCACTTTAACCATTACGCCACCAGGGCTTCTTTCTCACTCGACTTCTTGATCAAATTCTACTTTTCGACAGAGATCTAGAGAAAATAAGGTAGTCCCCGTGGGCAGGCGTTTCAGTGAGGTGAGCGGGGCTTCTCCGCAAGGGGCGAAGGTGCCGGCGCAGGAGAAGGCCGACCACAGCTCCCAGTTCCACGGCTTCCCGCAGCTCCACGGACAGCAGCGCCCCCCTCCGAGCAGCAGATGGGCCTGCTGCACTGAGCCAGGGTGCTGGCTAGCTCACTCCACCGGGACGCCAGCCTTAGGTGCGGACATTGGGTACACTCAGAATGCCCCAAAACTTGCCCGCGTGACGTGAGCGGTGGGACCTGGGGAGCTGGATCTCTGCACCCACGCAGATCATCAGAGCCCCTGAGATCTGGATAGTAAAGGTAACTGCGATCTCCTCTGTACCTCTGGCCTGGGACCTCCTGGTTACAAATATAGTATTGATTTTAAATTGGTAGGCTAGGTGTTGGATTTCCTTTATTGCTTTCTCTAACTTGGCTATATCGTAGTATGGAAATAAGATAAATCTTATTTTAATCAAGGTATGGTTTTCACAAATCAATACACCCTATGCTTCATACTGATTTCTTTTACCCTTTTCCTCCTTAAAAACCCTTTATTGCTTGTTTATTTCCCAGAAAATAAACTTCAAATTCCTTAGAACAGGGTATCAGAGCTTCTGGAACCCTCTCCAACTTCTCTCTGCACAATCAGCTTCCAGACACTCCCTCCCACACTGTGTGGTTCAGCCACATGATTCAGCAGGCACACCAGTCCCTTCACACTCTGTAACTTCCCCATTCTGTCCCCCTCCTCAGTGCAGGGACATATGCTGGCCTCTTGTGACGTCACTGTTGGGAGAAGTACATTGACATGGGACTGCAATGAATGATAAATTTTCTAAAACAAAGAAAATCTTTTTAGTCTTTTATCACAGCTTCAAGTATCAGAGAGGACTTCCTCCTTGCCTATGGAAGGGCATAATTCATGCCTTCCCCCCAAAGTAGAGACTTAAACCATGTTTTAAAGCAGCAAAAGCAAGTCCTGGCTGAGGACACCTATGTGGGATGAGTTGGTTAATGTCTGCCACCCCCATGCCTGCATTCCCTCTGTGCCTAGAATGTAACAGTCACTCAGGTAAATATTTGTCAGGTATTATTGAAGACCGAATGAATGCATTAGTGAATGAAATAGACTTGAATCCCCAAAAGTAGTTGAGAAGTATAATTACCATTTTGGAAGCTTTGGTAAACCTCAGTTAAATCAGGACAGGCCTTCAGGTTCGCCCTGCTGAACAAGGCTTCCAGAAGTGGCAGGCTAAACGTCTTCTCCAGTTCAGTGAGGACATCGTACGCCACTCTTTCCACTGGGACCAGGTTTCCACAAGTGTCTAGAAAATGCTTAAAAATATTGAATGGAGAATAATGTAGTTATGAATTTACTCTTATATGATAGAAGACTCTTAGGTGGTAGAGAGACCATTTGTTCTCTTGTGAAGTTTTAGAATTTTGCATGTATTTGGATGACTTCTTAAATGTCCTCCGCCATAAAATAGACTCTTACTTTACAAACCTGACTTCCTGGTGCTGATGCACACTCAAGGGAAGAGAGTCACTCTGATGAATAAAACGGGTTCAAAGTTGAATGTTATGTGGTCCTTGAAGAGCCTGGCCAGGATGCTACAAGAGTGACCCTAACAGGTGATAAGAGACCATTCTATTGACTAGACAATAACCCCCAGGATTGACCTGGCCTGAAGGACTCTGGGAAGGCAGGTGACCACCTCCCCTGCTGTGAACTTGGCTACAGAACAAAGAAAATTCACAGGGTAAAGAGTAGGCTCCTCCTTGGTATCCGCAGGAAGACCCACTGCTAACCTTTACCTGCATTCTGCTGTTGTTAGCTGCCGTTGAGTCAGCCCCTGATTCATGGTGACCCCATGCACAACAGCCTCAGACGACTGTGATCCATAGAATTTTCATTGGCTTAATTTTGGAAGTCGATCACTAGGCCTTTCTTCCTAGTCTGTCTTAGTCTGCAAGTCCCACTGAAACCTGTTTAGCATCATAGCAACACGCAAGCCTCTACAGACGGATGGTGGCTACACTGGAAGTGCATTGGCTAGGAAGCCAACCCAAGTCTCCCACATGGTAGGGGAGTATTCTACCACTGCCCTCATCTAGGGCTCCAGAAATGTCTGAAGAACAGGAAATAATTTGGAGAGAGAATAGCAATCATCTGCTTTCAAATTTGTACTAAGCTGCTCAACTTCCCCTGTGAGTTTCCATCATCTCAGAGCCAAGTGTTTGAATTACGTGCACTTTGAAATGAAATGCTGCCTAACTCATTTATTTTCATTTTAGTTTCTATTATTATATTTCATAAATGTACCTATGAGTCAGAATCACTGGACAGCAGTGGGTTTATAAATGTAGCTAAGAATACTCTGGAGCCCTGGCAATGGTCAAGAGCTATGGCTGCTAACCAAAAGGTCGGCAGTTTGAATCCACCAGCTGCTCCCTGGAAACCCTATGAGGCAGTTCTACTCTGTCCTACAGGGTCAATATGAGTCAGAATTGACTTGACAGCAATGGGTTTTGGAAGGTTCTTTATATTTGTGAAGCATTCCTGATTCCAATCCTGCCACACCTCCTTCAGTATCCCTCATCACTGACATTAACTACAGAAGACAGTTTCTTCAGTTAGAAGAAGGAATGTTTTTTGTGATGCCTGCTTTTCCTGTACCCTTTTAACTTACAGGTTGATGAAGGTCTCCGCTCATAGGAGGCTCTTCAGCCAGGTCATTGCCCCCTGAAGTCTGGCATGCTATAGTGGGACTGGTTTCCCGTTATGAGGACATCTCCTCACTTACTTCATACTTCTGCTCAGAGAGGAAGCCACGGTCTCGGAGGCCCATAAGGAAAGGAAACGTCTTCTTTATTGCACTTGCAATCTCCACCTTATTTTTTCTGAAGAGCGTGAAAATCTCATGGAAAAACCGCTCATCTATATTCTTTTTCTCTGTGTTCTGGTCCTCTGTGAACATCCTAAGACACAAAGATACAATATAAAAGTAGACATCTGGTTTCTGAAAGGCTTATGGTGGCTGGAAGATTCGAGACATGAAGGATAAGGATAGTCAATGAAGAGTCAACATGTGAAAAACAAGTACTTTTATCAACAGACCAGAATAAATGGATTGAAGGAATAATCACAGGTATGATAGAAGGAAACACTGAGCTTAAGAAAGACCTAAGAGTGGCTACCATTACTGAATGTTTTAGTCAAAGATTCTATAGAAGAATCTTGATCAAAGGGAAAAATGCAGAACAGAATTTCAAATTCTCATGCGATCCAGACTTTCTGGAGCCATGGAGGCTAGATGAACCCCCAAAACTATTGCCCCAAGATAATCTTTAAAACTTAAACAAAAAATGTCCCCTGAAGTCTTCTTAAAACCAAACAATAGTTTAGCTTAACTACTAAAGAATGTTGGCCTTGAGGATTGTGCTCTGTTAAGATCTATGTGGGATCAAATTGACAACAGCAACTCAAAAGGTTAGATGAGAACTTTAGGGGGCAATGAGTTTATGTTAATGGGGGAGGAACAACTTGGAGAAGGAGGTTGAGAATGGTTGTACAACTTGAAGAATGTAATCAATGTCACTGAATTGTACACGTAGAAATTGTTGAATTGGTGTATGTTCTGCTGTGTATATTCTCAACAACAAAAAATGAAATAAAAAAAATCCAACACTTAGACAACTGTTTGATTATTCACTTTGCATATGCTCATAATGTCAAAGATTATTTAATTAAAATTTATTAATTTGCATGTGTTCTCAATCCCAGTGTGAATGACTAAATTAGAGGATTGTGTTTTTATTGGTTTTGAGTAGCTTACACAAAGGCAACTCATTATGTTTGATAGAAATGTAATGAGATGTTGAGGAGAATCTATGCTTTACAAAATGTTAAATTAAAAGCCCCAATGAATACTTGCTGAGCAAATAATCTGAGAAGCTGGACTATATGACGAAGAAAGGGGCATCAGGATTGGAGGAAGAATCATTAACAACCTGCAATATGCAGATGACACAACCTTGCTTGCTGAAAGTGAAGAGGACTTAAAGCACTTACTGGTGAAGATCAAAGACCATATCCTTCAGTATGGATTACACCTCACCATAAAGAAAACAAAAATCCTCACAACTGGACCAATAAGCAACATCATGATAAACACAGAAAAGATTGAAATTGTCAAGGATTTCATTTTACTTGGATCCACAATCAACACCCATGGAAGCAGCAGTCATGAAATCAAAAGATTCATTGCACTGGGCAAATCTGCTG